GCTTCTTCTCGATGTCTAACTGCAAAGATAATATAACAAAAAATTAGTTCATAAGGATTTATTATCAAAAACATATACATAACACAATGGCTTAACAAATCAGGTTGGAAAATAACCAAAACATGTCAAGAGTATTTTTACCAAAATTAAAACAAACAAACATACCTGACTGGGAGAAGAGAGAAGGTAGCTACGGTGCATGTCGTGACCTTTGTGCAATGTATGAGCTACGAAGATTGACTAATAAAGGAAAGGGTTCATTAGGATTTATCAACCAAGACCATAACTATAACATACAATACAATCGATTAAGACATCAGGATGCATTAAAAGACTAAACATTTCAAGAGTATTTCTGAAACAAAAAAAAAGTAGACATAGTTAGCTGACCTGTGAAGAAGCCAAAGTTAGACAACACAATGGTAGCAGGAGGTCAGATAATGTATACAGAGTATGTATGTTGAATTGTTGATGATTCGGAGAAGGTGGATACTGTTTGCAATAGCCTGAGGAATGTTTGTATGTGGTCGGGAATGAACGATGTAGACGGAAGGTGCGAGAAAGGACTTTCAGGGAGAAGTTGCGTTGTGTTGATACTTGATACCGAGTAGATAAAATAGGCTGCAGTAGGGTTTGGCGTAATGGGTTGGGCCATGATTAAATGGGCTAAATAGAAATCTACTGAATATATATAACAAGAAGTGCCTGAAAATTTGTTGAATTGGTTCTTAATTTCCTCCAGCCCAGAAACGCTAATATTTAGAAAGTTTTCAAATTACAAGCCTGTTTAGTAGCATGTAAGGGGGTGTTTGGAACTGATTCTGCTTCTGCTTCTTTTTTAAAGCAGAAGCAGAATCAGTTTTCAGAAGCTGGTACCCCCCAACTTCTAAAAAAACTGATTCTGGGAGTAAATTAGAGCACCAGAAGTGCTTCTGGAATTTCACCCAAACACTCCAGCTTCTGCTTCTGCTCCCTGAAGGAGCAGAATCAGTTTTGAGAATTAGATCCAAACACCCCCTAAATCAGTAGATTTGGTTGATTCTACTGAAATTTATAAAGTTCTGGCTAAAGTATCTGCATTGGCTGATTTTGCTGATTTAAGAGAAAAATATTTTAAAATATATTTTATTAATAAAAAAAATTATATGTGAAAATAGCTAAAGGGATCATCTACAGTAACCTCGGCCAATACACCCAGACGTGAAGGATTGAAAATATTGATATGCAACTCCGATGGTGCCTCCAGTAACTCAACGATAAATGTTGTATACCCAGAAGATTTTCAAAACGTGTAGTTTGTTTTGTATTATAATGTTCCTATTTCTTTAATTCAACAACTTATTAATGTTTCTCTCATATCATTTATTTTTTAACCTTATTATATTAAATGTGTATGCTTTGATATTTCTATATGGATTTCTCATAAATAAAATACAACAAAATATTGTCCCGTGCATCGCACGGGTGCGATACTAGTACAATTAGTAAGGAAGAAAAATATAGATGCATGTTTTTTTCGTTGGTCCTTTTACTCTTTTTAATTCTTTTTAATGAGTATTCAATTGATATGAGTATAAGTGTTTGGATTGATATTTTTTTTTAAAAAAAAAGAATATTAATTTGGGGCCTTGATTTTACATTTAGAACCGGGGCCTCCAAATTCATTAGACGGCCCTGTATATGGGCTATCGTACACTACAAAAAAACACGGGATTGACAAAGATTTTTGGTAAGATTTTCCTAAATTGGCAAGGATTTTGGCAGGGATGTGCCAAATTTGTGCCAAAAACAGTTTGACACAAGCTACTTGGCACGAAATAATATATTGACAAATCCGTGCCAAATCCGTGCCAAATCCATATCAATCCCGTAATTTTTTTTTTGTGGTAGTGTAACGGTAGTGTCAACGTGACTTTTGACGGAGAACGTACAGGAGACGGAGTGGCAAAAGTATATGTCTCAATTAGTGTAATAATTTATTTATGACGGAATAGTATTGTAAAGAAAAAATGTGAAACTTTGAACACCCAAACTACGGAAGAGTATATAGTACAGCCGACTGTACGATACCAGCCGTACTGCTGGTGGCAAACTTGTAATTTTGGTGAAATTCACGGATTCTCTCAAATGAGCATTGGGTCAATTTTGATGAGCACCGAACCTGTTCTTTTGAGTATTAAGAGCCTAACGGTGAGCATTAGTGATATATGCTTCATTCCTCGTATATCACATTTTGTTTATTATTTTTTCGTTTATTAAAATCTTAAATTATGTCTATAATCAATTTCATTTAATTTCAATATGTGTCTAATGAATTAACATGTGCAACCTTTTAAAATGAGCATAAAACCGTACCAAATAAGCATACATAATTACAAAATGAGTATCAAAATATTAAAAAACTCATTTGTGTGTGTTCATTATTTTTGGGCATTATACTCATTTGAGTTTAACATAAAATTCATTTTGAAACATGCATGAATATGACATTTTAAAATGAGTATTGTACTAACATCAAATGAGTATACATAAATTAGGGAATGAGCATTCAAAAAACTCATTTAAAATGTCTATTGTGCTCATAATTTCATCTGTTATGCTCACATCTGAAGAATTACATATATTCTCTATTATGCTCATAAATTCTCTGATATGTCGCCAAAGTTAGAAGCCAGAACGAGAACAATCTGCGGAGGAAGACCTGCGGAGGAAGATCTGTGGAGGAAGATCGGCGGAGGAAGACTTGTAGAGGCAGACCACCGGAGGAAAACCAAATGGAGAGTGAAGATCGAGAACGATCTGCGGAGGAAGACCAGTGCCCTGCAAGTTGCGATGGAAGCCAGAGCCTTGCGATTTGCTATCTAAAAGGCGGGTTGTACCATGCGCACGGTACAGCCGGTTGTACGATGGAATTTACGCCCAAACTACACAGAAACTACCGATGCTAGGTCTGCCACAGGCATCGGAGAAATCATATTTTGATTATATATGTATTGTATGTTTGAGTATGATCACAAGGGATAGCCCGGTTTGCCGGACCAACTGAACCGGAACCGAGATCGATGCTTTTTTTGGGTCGGCCCAAGACAAGTTTTCCGATTCCGGTCAAGGACCCCCCCCCCCCCCCCCCCCACCTCGCTTACATTACCCGGTCCCGGGTGATTTTTTTAGACTGGGACCAACTAGTCTCTCAGGCTCAGTCCTATATATCCCCAACGGCCGGGCAGTTTAAAACAAAATTGATCGACACCTGACTTGTCGACAGTGGCGTGTTAGGAATTAAACTCACGCACGCGATGAATAATAAGAAGAACACACGAAAATTTGGTAACTCAGTTCGCCACGAATGACTACGTCTGGGGGCACTACCAAGCCAGGAATATTATTGCTATTTTCAGATCTCACTTTGATTACAAGAGGGGAGCTTATCTTTATAGAGAGTAAAACCTAACCCAAAAATAGCTAGGACGCGCGGCCCAAGGGGGGAAGAAAAATTAATCCGCACGACCCATCTGTACGGAACTGTACGGAAAACTTGTTCGTCGAAAACTTGGATCGACGGATAGGACTTGGTTATAAGTCTCTAACACGGATCCACTTAAAACACCCTGATTTTTTTTAAAAAAACAGTGACCATCACTGCTTATTATGTCTTGTGCTAGAAAAAATAATCGTTTAAATACTAGTGCATGCCATAGTGTGGACTATAGTGCTGCTGGTTTCAGGAGTTTGTTGCTCTCGTTCGAACTTCAAGGAAATTGCTTATTTCAATTTGGAAGATATATTACTCTCCTTATTTCCTATTCCCTAATTTCAAATTGCTTTGGTTCGAAGAAATATTAGACTGTTTAGATGTTGACATTGTTGTTGACATTGCAAGGAAAAACTTACCAAAATGGTGTAAAATCATTCAAATAAGGAGAGGGATTATTTATTTGATAATATTTATGTGGCTATGACACATGCCACATGTGCACCGTGCGCATTATAGCATTGGAGATGCTCTTAGAATTCAATTAGTGTTTTTCTTATTGAAACGTATGTGCTTAAAATTTTTTCAACTGAGGCAAAAAACATTATTGAAAAAGATGAATGTATAATCTATTGGAATGACAAAAGGGCATAATTATCGCATAAATTAATGCTCCATACTATCATTTGAAATTGTAGTTTTAATGTGATTTCGAACAGCCAAAATATAAGAGATAGATCCGCCACGGCTTGTCGACCAATTTGAGACCGCTATCTAATGGGTTGGTCCCGGGCCTGGCTCAACTCCCTTTTCATTAAATTTCCCCTAATATATGTGAAATAATAAATGTGGAGAATAATGGCTTACCCTACCGTTGGGCTGGACTCGGTTCGGGCCGGGCCTGGTTCGGGCCTTGAACCGGCCGGGCCTCGGTTCACCAAAAGGAGGGCTCGGGCCCGAACCGGCAGGTGACCGGTTCTGGGCCGGTTCCGGGCCAGACCGGGCCGGTTCCGGGCCAGTTCACCCGCCCCATTTTTTTTTTTTTGATTTTTTGGCTTCTCTTATTTAACCCCCTACCCCTCCCCCTCAACCCCAAACCACCCCAAACCACCTCAAATGGCCCAAAATACCTAATCCAACCCAAAAATTAAAAAAATTTCAAAAAAAAAATAAAAAAAAAATATTCCGGCCCGGACTGGGCCCGAACCGGCCGGGCCGGTTCACCAAATAGAGGGCCCGGGCCCGGAATCGGTATCCACCGGGCCGGTTCGACCCGAAGCGCCGGTGGACCGGGCCACCGGGCCGGGCCGGTTCACACAGTAACCGGGCCAGGCCGGTTCCGGTTCGGGCCGCCCGGCCCGAGTCCAGCACTACCCTACCGGCCGTAGCCCTCACGTTATATTTATACTAAAACATAATAAAGTAGTAATACAAATTAAATGGGCCTAAGTATATCGGCTATTACAACCCCTCAATCTGTGCAGGGAAAATAACGTGCAGATTGGAACGTAAAAATTCAAAGCGTTGACTAGACAAATTTTTAGTGAATATACTTAGACATCTATTTAATCATTGATTGCAAAAAGAAAAAAGAGAAAAATGGTAGAATACATATCCTAATTCGGAGTAACATATATGAAATGAATGATCAAATTAAAGAATAAGTAGCAAATAAGTATCAAGTGATCACATAATGGTACACCCGTTAGGATTCTCATCACTAAAGTAGTTGTACTGGCAATAACCATGTGGTGGCGGAGGCGGTCCATAGTGGTGTTCATGGTGATCCAGCGCCGGCAATGCATAGTTGTAGTGGCGGAGTTCTGGGTAGTGGTGGGGGTGGCATTGCACTGGTGGCGGTGCTGGAAGAGGAGGACAATAATCATGCGGCCGGTAATTATAATTAGAATAGTCGTGACAGCAATCAGGGGCAGGGTAGTCCCGGAAATTCAGCCTGTAGCCCCTTGCTACGGCCATCTCAATGTTGTCCAACCTCGGAATCCTCGAAAGATGATCGACGGCGCCGTCCCAGTGGACTCGCCCGTGCGCCGGCGGAGCTCTTAGGTGGAAGGGCTGGCCGGGATGGCGGCGTGCATCAAATTGCATAGCACCGTGCGGCGCGGGCACAATTTCTTGCATGTGCGGTCTGGGTACGACCAATTCCATGGGAGGCGGCCATATCGGCTGCGGCGGATGTGCCAGAACTCCTCCATTGTGTGGCTGCGGCGGCAGAGGGGCGGGAGGTGGCGCATCAGCAACCTTGAGTGGTGGTTCTGGTGCCTTTTTCGGTGCTTCTGGTGCATGTGGCGCAGCCGCCGGCTTGGCACAACAAGAACCCTTCATGCGCATTGTCAATTTTATGATCAGTAAATATTGAAATATACTAGTAGATCATTGAGGTCTCAGTTAATCTCTTATCATATGGATTTTGCAGTAGTTTAATAAAAAATTATAAATTTAGAAACGACGACTCACTCGATGTTTGAGGGTCTGTTTGCAACAGCTTCTGCTTTAAAAAAATGTTTTTTAATGAAATGGGGAGAAGTGATTAAATAAAAGTTGATAGTGTTTGAGAAAAAAGTGATTTTGAAAAGTAAAAGTTGGGAGTGTTTGGTAAAATAAGTGTTTTTTGTGTAATAGAAAAAGTAAAAGCACTTTTGACACGAAAGTCGAGAAAAATAAAAGTTGGCAGTGTTTGGTAAAATAAGTGATTTTTTAAGCCAAAAGGTGAGAAGTGTTTTTTTTAAAGCATTTGCAAATCAGCCCTAAATGTTTCGAAAAAGGTATTCCAAAAATATGTATTAGGTTGAATAATACAAAAATAATTTGAATAATACTTGACTTTTCTTAGTTAATGACAATCAATTTTGACTAATGATAGTTTTTAATAGGAACTTATAATGAATATATGAATATTATATCAAAATGAGTCCTTTTCAAAATATTTTATAAAAATTATAAATTATATACAAATATAATAATTAAAATCATTATCCAAATTTATCATCATTTAAACTATTTGGTATGTAACATTCCAAATAGGAGACAAAGAAAAGGTCAATTAGGGGCCCGCATAATAATCTTAATTTATAAATCTCAATTTTCTTTAAGCTATAATTTCCTCAAATTAGTTACACACTTTAAAAAAATTGAAGTTTATAACGAATAGTTTTATGGCCCCACTTCTTTCTAAAAGAAAAGTTTGTATGGCCCCACTTATTATCCTTGCCTACACTTGCTCGAAATGTTTAACTTTTTTAATAGGTAGGCCCCTTTCCTAATTTCGCTTTTCCATCCTGTGAAAACTCTCGTATTTTCAGAATTCCTCAATTTGAAAGCTAAAAAATATGTCCTCGCTTTTGTTGGCATTTTTAAAAGCGATATAATATTTGTTGTTTATTACACAACATATATTTAAAAAATTTATCTCACTATCCAGATAGCTATCCTATTTTTCTATTCAGGCTGATCATATTTTTCCCAAAATCTCTAAAAAAAAATCCCTAACAAAATTCCTGAAGCCTGTTTTTTTTTTTTTGACAAGATTCCTGAAGCTTGTTAGGGACGAAAATCTCTAACTAAAATCCGTTACAAGTCCAGTATATTTTTTGTAGTGGAAATTAATTGTCATATTTCATTTTATCATTTTAATACGAAGGGGTGTGGTATTTCGTATAACCGACAAAGCTAAATATTGAGACCGGCCTCACATTGAACATGTCTTTAATTACGTTTACAATTTTGATTTTTTCTTTTTAATTTTTGAAACATTGTGATTTTTACAGACGTTACTTTGACCACAGTTTTCTGCTAATATACATAATCAAATTATTACATATAAAATGTTATTGAATTCCTATCAATGTGAATTTTCAAAATATCAACTTTTTATAATGTTTACTAATACACAATTAAATCAAATTATTACATATAAAATGTTATTGAATTCCTATCAATGTGAATTTTCAAAATATCAACTTTTTATAATGTTTACTAATACACAATTAAATATAATTACAATCAAATTAAAGTTGTGCGTTGGCAAACGTGAGAGTCAAACTGTTGCAAGAATTAAAGAACGGAGATAATATTTCATACTCTGTATCATAAAACCCAGGTTTGAACAATTTTAGAACCAGACTTACTGAATCGGTCTGGATGATAAAGAATAATTTATTTACAATCAATTCATATAAAACTAACTATTACTCCATAAGATGGAGCATATATAGGGTCTGTTTGTATTTCAGCGGTTTGGTGGGCAAAATGCGGCATTTATTAGTAGCGTTTACTATTGATAGAAAACGGTGTTTTGGTGTAACATGCTGACACGTTGTTACCGTAAAGGATCATTTTAGTTGTTTGTCATATAATTTTTTTTTATTAATTAAATATATTTTGAATGTAATTTTTCCATAAATCAGCAGAAATATGTAATTCAATCACTTCAGCCAGAACTTCATAAATTTGAGTATTCAAACAGACTCTTAAAACAATTAAAATACATAAAAGAGATCTGATGAAGCGTAAAACTTTCGATAATAACCTAAACTCAATTTAATTTGTAGGTAAACATAACTACAAAATACCACAAACATTTGATTATGCATTTAAATTTATATATGTGATTCCGATTATATACGAACGGCACAGAAAACTCGAACGCTACGATGAATACATACCTTGCATTTGGGAGGACGAATTGCTGCTGGATCCATAGTAGCAGACTAGCGTGTAAAGCACAAATAAAAGGATCCCTGCATATACTTACACGGTGCCCATAAATTTATAAAAGGAAAGAAATAATGATGCTAAATTTAAAGATTAGTGAATCTTAATACAAACCTCTATTACCTCGTTACAATCTCGGTACTTTCTAAAACAGCAACAGGTTAGTTTTGGAAATAATTACACACATATATATAACTAAAATAAATATTACTCCGTATATACAAAATGTGACTTATAGTGACCATAATAACAATAACTTAATCATAATAATTTATATTCATTTTTTACATTTAACAGATGATAAGACTATTTATAATAATAACTAGTTTTCCAGCCCGTGCGATGCACGGGCAGTACATAATTTAGGTAATTGTAAATTTGATATTTTCAAAAACATATATAATTTAATGTGATGCAAAAGCAAAATAAACTCGGTCTAATATAAAGTCATTTGATAATACTAAAATTGGTCGAATTTTCTGACTCTATTGTAATCTATTTATCTATTCTATTCTATTTATATATAAGAAAAGATATAGATCATATAAATACCATTTTACCCTCAAAAGCTCATATGTGGCCATCTTCCCAAATTTCACTCCATTGCTAAGCTCCTGCCACGTGGATCTATCTCATTCAATTCATTCATTCAATTCAATTCATTATAAGAAAATTTTACCATGCATCTACGTTTGGGAATGTATTGGTGCATTCCATATTTGGCGCTATTTTATTGGTAAGTTAGTCCAGCTCATATTTTTTATTAAAAAATGCATTTATTGCAATTAGGTCCTTCCTGGCTTCCTCAACCCCAGTCAATTTTATCATTTGTGTATCTGAAAGAATGTAGCTGGAGACATCAAGCCGCGCCCGCGAAGGCACGGAGAGACGGTCAAGCTGCGTCGGCGAAGGCAGGGAAAGACGGTCAAGCCGCGTCCGCGAAGGCAGGGAGAGACAAACCGTTCAAGAGGCATTTGGGAGGCAAAGAAACCGGGAAAACGAGGGCTAGAGAAACCAAAGTCCTACATCTTCATCCACAAATTCGTACACATCTGCACTTCATGGCAACGCATCCATCCAAGGAAGATTTTTCATCTCTAATTTCCTCAATTTCCTCCAATTATGATCAAACTCTATGTTAAAGTTATTGTCCCTAATTTTGATTTTCATTTTTGTTGTGAATTGGTTCAGTGTGAATTTGCATTTTTCTATGTGTCCCGTAGTTTTCCATGAATGGTATGTTTTGTGGTTAACAACAGTAGTCATTTGCTCCCTGAGAAACCTTCACTTATATAAACTCTAATACCACATCCTAAACACCTTACTGAATAAGAAGATCTTATTGGCCTGGTGAAATGACCTTTTGACAGGTCTGTAGCTCCGGTGATGAACTTACAAGAATCAATATTTAATGTCATTTTTACTGGTTCCTTTTGTTTTATTTTGAAACGAAGTAACCATGTCTTCTTCTTCTTCTTCACCGTCTTGACGGGAGAGAGGCCAGACGATTTTTTTAAGCCAAAGATAGATGGTAAGAATTTTTTAATACGATTTGCTTTTTATAAGCTTTATATGTGATTTAATACACAATTATGATATTGATTTTAGGAGAGGAAGATGCGGGTTTTTTGTTTGGAAGGATGAAGTGTTGTCCTGAAGTGACCAACAAAGGGAGACAAATGGGGGAAGTTGTGGTTCAGGACCATTTTCAATTGAGGAGTTGAAGGCCTTTCTTTTTGCTATGAATAGTGAATTAGAAAGCATCATAACAATTGTTCATTCTGAAGCAAAAGACAAGCTATTTTGGAAGAGAATATGTCTTGTTTTTGTAATGGTTTTTGTAGTCGTTGTTATGGTAAACAAATGTAATATGTACTGAGTGTTTGACCCCAAGGGCTGTTATTCTATTTTAATTGTAGTTGTACTATTGAGTACATGTGATCTTGTGTTTTTTGTTCAATCAAATTGTGGTAAACAATGAGGATTTATGGCTTAGTGTTGCTGGTTTTTGGTTTTCACTGGTTTTCTTGATCTTTTATTATGGTAAAGAAAAACACATATTGCCTACAAATAATCTCAAACCCTTCACCTTAATACCTCAAGAGTAAGGTCTGGTCCTGATAATAAGCAGCCTGACCATAAGTTAAAAAGATTCAGGTAAATGATGCTGAAACAGAACCCAACTTTCCATTAATGTAAAAGCATGAATTGAATGGAAAGTTAAGTTGTAAACAAACACTCTTTTAGTAACACTATCAACATATGTTAGCTTAATGTTTCCTTCAGTCCAATGTTATTAACATCTAACATGAATTTCAGATGTAGAGAAAAGATTATAAAAGAGAGAATACAAAATCTTTACATTCCACCCAAGCTGCACTTGAAATAGGTCAATTTATATCACAAAAAGCTTTCAAAGATGTTTTTTTGTTGGTTTTATGCACAATGAAATGTTGCTAACTTGCTACTGTTATCCCAAGTCTCCTTTACAAAATGGTACCAAGTCAAAGGATATTGTTGCCACTGTCCCACCTCATCCGGTTATAATCACATACATTATTTCACCCTCCAACCTGTTATAACCACCAAATGGAATAACACTAATGTAAGTAACCAGAAAATTAAGCAATGAGCTGAAGTAAGACTTTCTACACAAATGAAGTAAATCAAGAATAAAACAAATCAAGAATGGGAGCGATCTATCTTAAACTTTAGTTAGGATTCAGTTTATAAGTGAGTTTACAAATCAATTTATAATTAGATATTAGATATGAGCTTCATTACAATAATTAATATTTTTAAAAAAAGTCTTATTTTTTGTTCATTAGTACTCATAAATACTATGTACGTAGTAGTAACTAGCAAGTACCCTCAGCTAGGTGTCTAGGCCGATGATGTCATCTGATGCCTTTTAGGTTAGATGGGAAAATTTTGCTAGTACGTGGATCGTGAGTCCTCAAGGAATATATCGAAAAGTATGTCAAACTAAAGGTGGAAAAAATACTGAACGAGCATGATACCGAACTGGATCGGTATAATACCAGATCAAAAAATGGGGTTTAAAATTGATCACAATTTTTTGTCCCCAATCGGACCGTACCGGTTCCAAACAATGTCATGACCGGTTCTTATAAAATGAGAACCGGTACCGGACTAAACTAGACCGAAGTATGATTTAATTATTTAAATGTCCATTTACACCATTACTTTGATTAGTGACTTCACACTTTCAAAGTGTTTGCTAGTTCACTAGAAGTTTGGAACTTAACCGGACCGAAGTATATTTTAAATATTTAAATTTGTTCTACTATAATTTATCTAAAACATACTCCCACGTCCCATAGTTAAAGTCACAATTTGACTTTTGCGATCTCCTAGACGAACATTTGACCGTAACTATCTATAATATATACATATAACATCTATAATAAATTGATATTTGAATAATACATATTACAATGAAGCATATTAAATAACTTTTTGGGATAAAACATTATTATTTTTTAGTAATAAGCGGTCAAAGTTTAACAATTTTGACTTACAAAGTCAAACTTTGACTTTAATTAAGGGACGAAGGTAGTATCAATTATGTAATATGAAAATTGATAAATTGTGTGGATTTTTGGAGGATGACTAAAGTTTAATTTTCTCTTAAACACTTGGAAAAAGTGACATTGTTTGGTATTGGTATGACATGGTACAGTCTCATTTGAAAATGGAACCGTACCGAACGGGTTTAGGTCTAAAACTGAACCGAACCGTTTGAATATTCACGGTACGAGTACGGATTCGGTGAAATATTGGACCGGACCGGACCATGCCTGCCCCTATGTCAAACTTCGTTGAACCAACAATAATGAAAACTTGTCTTTCTCACAAGTGAAAAAAGTGCAGTCCATCATTCTACATTTCTACACCTTGTATAATTGATGAAATATTGCAAACATGTTATGTTTTAAGCTTTAGAATAACTATAAAGCCCCATGTACAATACAAAATCTAATACCCTCAATAGTCTCTCATGAGTCATGATCCTCTAAATCCAAAATAATTTCCGTATATACCTGAGCTATCATCAATATCCAATATGTTATAATTTTTTTTGAACGTTCCCGATAAGAACATGATAATGCATGCTTCTCCACATTTAGTTGCAAGTTAGATTGTTGGCACGATGTAGATTTTGAATATTATTGATTGTCTTTCATATGTTCCATTTGTCGTTGTTAATTGTTTCTTGTGTGTCCCTGGATTTCCATATGGTCTAACAACCCATGATAAAGGATCTTTCTTTGGAGACTTCATATTGGATATTAACAATTTTTGTGTTAGGTACACTTCCTTCTCAAATATGGCATTGGATAGAACAATTGTTAGTTAAGATGACAATTTCAAGTTTCTTTGTATGTTTTACCTCCTTGGCTTGTGGAAGTGCATATCAGTTGTGATCGAACTATGTTAAATTCTTGCGTGCTATTTGTCTCCAAATATTTATTATGTTGTACCTAATAAATGGTGTAAGAACATATAATGTAGTTCCAAGGAAGACATAAAAAAGTCACAAATGTGATTTGCAATTTATTTTCGGGTGTTGTTTTTGTTAAGAGAAATGGTCCAACATAAAAGTAAAACATGACCCGTATGCACAAATAGGAGCTCTACTTTTAAAATACCTAAATAAGAGTGCATTTAAAGCGTTTGGACATATTTGCCCCTGTTTTAATTTATACTCCGTACTATTTTCTCTTCATTTCCTCTATCGATTGATCTGCTGGCCAGAGACTCCCTCTCTCCTCTTCAATCAATGTTTCTTCTTCTCAATTTTCAATTCATTTTCCAGCAGTCCAGCACTGGCAGCACCCATAACAACAAAGAAGCACGGTGGGGCACGCCTACTAGGCGGAACAACTGAGACGGAGGCGGAGGTGACCGTGCTGCGACGACGGCGGCGATTGTGCTGCGACGGCGGCAGAGATGATGCGGCGGCGGAGATGATGCGGCGGCAGGCCATCTGGGCGAGTCTTCTTTTCCTTTTTCTTTTCCTTTTTCATTCTCCTTTTCTTCTTCCTCTTCTCCCTCTGCTACTCCTCGCCCTGCTACTCAACTTTCTTCTTCTGTTGAATTTTTATTTTTCATTAATTTTTTTATTTTCTTTTGTTGTTCCATATCTGAATTTTTTTATTGGAAAATGAGACTCCTACAGTCCTACGATCTTTTTTTTATTGTAAGAGACTCCATCAATCTGGAGGAAATGGTTTTAGATCTGTTTTTTTTTATTTCCCGCTAATTTATTTTACAAAATAATGTTACTGTTTCTAAGTATTTTGAATCTGAAAATGGAAGTTGAAAAAATCAATCTATAGTATTTTCTTTATAAAAATGGCAATATTATTTTTTTCAAAAAAAAATGGCATAGTAAAAATATTGTAATTATAGTGTCATGGTTCCAATAAAAAATGTCACTTTGACAAATGATTAATACCATTTTTATGGCATAACTTTATCAAAATGGCATTATCACCTTTGATTTTCTCTTTTATTATTTCTTGGCTTTTTTATATTTTGATTTTAAGTTTCAGTCCATTTTATCATAGAATGTCATCATATCACACAACATACCATTTTTAATCACAAAATGCCATTTTTAATCACAAAGTGCCATTTTTATCTCGGAATGCCATTTTTTTATCTGGAAATGCCACAATTTTTGTATTTATCACACAAAATGCCATTTTTTAATCATATAATGCCATCTTTTTATCTGGAAATGCCACAGTTTTTGTATTTGTAAATGCCATGTTTTTAAATCTGTAAATGCCATGTTTATTATGTCTTTTTATCAACAATCTTGTTGGAGGAACAACCACATCAGTGGGGAGGACAACTATACCAGATAACACTTCGCCACCCTGTATGAATACTCGCATGAGGGCGTCGGCGGCTCCTGGGAGGTGGTGGCGGTTGCTCCCAAGAGGCGGTGAACTCGCCGGAGGACTGCGGTGGTGATGCTTCAGCCAGTGGCGGTTGACTAGCCAGACGGCAGCGGCGGATTAACTGGTCAGCAGCAGAAGCGGGCTAGCCGGGCAGAGGCGGAGGCACCGGACTAACCGGACGGCAGCAGCGGCATCGGACTAACCGGACGGCGGCGGCGGACTAACCGGATGGCGGTGGTGGCAGTGGACTAGCCTGACGAAGGTGTCGGCGGCACACACAATGGCGGGAGACTCTCTGAGCAGATGCCTAATAATACTTCGTAGGATCAGAAGGAGAGTAGTAGGCCTAGGGTTTACATATTTTTCTACTTTTTATTGTGAATAGGTCTGGAACTTGATTAAGGGTATTTTAGTCAATCAATACATTTTTACTCCTATTTTAGTCCTATGAAACATTGAGCTCCTGTTTTTGCACATATTCAATGTTTTACTCCTATCAAGATAATTACCCCTTTTGTTAATTATAATGTTATAGTTATTAAATTATGTAGGTTTAAAGTAATATTCTATCTTTCCTATCTAATGAAAAGATTGATTTCAAAGGTTTTAACCTTATGAAAATGCGTAATTCAAGACTACGTAGTGCAACATGATCTTTGCTTTGCTCTAGGTGATGAAAACCTAGGACTCTAGAAGAAATGGGGAATGGTTCATATTGGGCTACAGGTAAGACGAGGGGCTGTTAATATAATTAATCTAGCATTGGCATACCAACTTTAAGTAAGGATGTTCAAGGAAATATGCCACCATAAAACTTGTGGGATACTTTGGAGAACAACTTTTCATCTTTGATCACTTACCAATTGATGGCCGAGGATGAATACATATTCACCCAAATGTAGGATAGAGGGTATCCAAATTGATTATACTTATAAATTTAATGAGTTGGTATTTTGACTTGAGAATGCGAGAAAGAAATTAAGGATGAGGAATAGAAGTTGATGTTGTTGACTTCATTTCCCAAATATGATGCTAGTGCATCATTGTTGATGAAAAATTTCACATCAATTGAATATATTGCTATG